GTCGTCTATCGGATGACAAGGGAGGAAGAAAATGTGAAGGCGTATCCGGACTGCCTTTTCCTGGTGCACTTCCAGAAGGAAACGGTGACGCTCAACGCGCTGAAAGCCATCCACTCCATCAATTCCATCATCGTCCGCTGGGAGCCATACCGTGGCAGCCATCGCGATGTGACCCAGTGCCAACGGTGTCTGAACTTCGGACACGGCACCCGCAACTGCAACATCAAGCCACGCTGCGGCAATTGCGCTCAAGACCACGCCACTTTCGACTGCCATGTGCATGGAGCCGTGGCGTTAAAATGCGTCCAACAAACAGTACCCTAAACGCGAGGATGTCCACCAACAAGCAACCAGCATGAAGGAAGGATAAGGCCCCGGCTTTCAGGGCGGAGGACTTTCCGCCTCTTCATGAACAAGCGAATCCAAAGGTACGATCCGCCCCCCCCCCCCCCCCCCTCAAGAAACGTTTGGATCTTCTGCTGGACAAAGCTCTCCATCCCCCCTGGATTCTGGAGACAACCAACAGCTCAACCAAATAATCCCGATCTGTTCATATCCGAGGCTGACGAGACATGCGTTTGACAAGTTCGACTTGCACTGGTGTGGCCACCATTTAAAAAAAACGGCCCTTTTCAGGGCCACAAATTCAAAAACGGAAAGAGTTGAGAACTAAATGAGCAACATATTTGTTCCGTCTATTAGCGGTCCTACGTCAAGCTTCCGTTCGTGCCCCTAAGCACAGACCCTTCTACTTAAATTTGATTTTGATACCAAATCATCGATTGATGATTGAATATAGATGAAAGATCTGAAGAAAATCTAGTTACAAAATGCATGGAATTATATAACTCGCAGAATTACCTAGCATGAGAATTTTCTTAAGTTTGAGATCCTTAAAATCATTATGAGATCCGGACAATATGCTTGTTTTGAAATAAATAAAATGAAATTTGATATTCCACCCTTAAAATAACAGTAAGCCTCACCATAATAGGTCATATTATTTTACGAAGGAGAAATGTATCCAACCGGATAATTAAATAACAAATAGCCTTGACGCCTTTTGATTGAATAGCAGTACCAGAGGCGAACCAGCCCCAGGCTGAAAGTTTATATTTAACCGTAGAACAAAAAAAACACAGGCCCCCTCCAGTAAAATTTTCTAGCTACGCCAATGGTTCTCAGACGGAACACGTCGGTATCTAAAAAATCTGCCATGGCATTGTTGGACGTTGAAAAAGCGATCGACAATGTCTGGCATGATGGGCTCGTGTACAAATTACAACAATACGGTCGGTCTTCCAATCTTCCTTGTGAAGATCATCCAAAATTACCTCTCAGACAGGATATTCCAAGTCTCTCTCAATGGCATCACTTCTGATGCCTTCAACATTGGCGCGGGCGTTCCGCAATGAATTATCCTTGGGCTCATCCTCTTCAAACTATTCACCTTCGACAATCCGGCTCTCCCACATGGTGGTACGATGTATATGTTTGCAGATGACACATCCATTGTCTACAAGGGAAGAGTCATCGGAGCTCTTACCGCCAAACTTCAGAGAGGCTTGCATGTCAGAGTATTTCAACAACTGTAAGATCCGTATCAACGCGGCAAAGTCCCAGTAAATCATATTTCCACATTCCAAGACTTGTTCCGTCTGGAAATAATAAGATCTGCTTGAACGGCTCAGTGGTGGAATGGTCTAAAGAGGTTGTGTACCTCGAACTAACACTAGATAGAAAGCTTCTATTCAGGGAGCACATTGACAAAACTCACACCAAGTACAACATCTTTATAAGATCACTGTATCCGCTTGTCAACAGAAAGTCTGCCTTATCCCTGATAAATGAGCTTGCTGTCTATAGACAACTTGTTATTGAGAATGGTATGCCAATCTGGGATAGTTGTTTCAAATGCCATCATCTTAAACTTAAACAAACGCCATTGAACGTGACTCCCTACATACACCACTGTTCACAATTTCGGAACAAGAGAACCAGCCCTCAACCAAAATCACTCAAAAAAAAAAGCACACCGATAACGTTTCTCCGCGGCGAATATGGAATCTGCCGCTCTGTCCGTCGTCGGTTGGAGAATCTACCGTGCTGCCTTCTTTCGAAATAATAATAATACTAACCTCCTCGATATGTGCCTGTGCACTAGGGTGGATCAATTTTACTTCCTCTTACTCCTGCAGCTCTTTTGATTCGAATTGAGGTCCCCAGCAACTGTGCCAAATTTGAACGAATATGGTTACGATCTGGATTTGTTGGAGGCCTTTTTTTAATGAGAATTGGTCCGAAATTTAAAAATCGCTAAAATTATACCAAACTCGACGCTTAGATTGAGAAAACTATACACAAAAACTTCGTCGCAAATCGATTCGACTTCTGTGCTTTAAGTTTTTATTATTTTTTGGCCATGTCAGCCGCGCATACCTACTGGGGTGCATATAAGCGTGTAGGTATGGGTGGAGCACCAGGGCGAATTGCACAGAAGTCCAATCGATTTGCGATGAGTTTGTTCTGTATTTTTTTCTCAATCTACGTCCCAGGTTTGGAGGAAATTGAGCTTTTTTTATAAATATTGTCAAGCAAATTATTAATTTTGTTCCGTTTCCCAAACATTTTAACATACAAATTTTAAAAGCAGATCCTAACCGAATTTATTCAAATTTGGCTAAATTGATGGAGATCCCAATACAAATCGGAAGAGCTGTGGGGATCCGGAATGGTGATCCGCCATATAAAGTTGACCCACCCTACTGTGCATCGCATTGAATCGGTTTCCCATTTCGCTTTCTGCCATGTTTTTGCCCCACAATCAACCGCAAAAATGAAACGGGCATTATCTGCCTGTCTGCCTGCCTGTCAGTCGGCCGGGCTGAAAGCAGTCTGTTTTAGTTTTCATTCTGTTGCCATCCTTCGAATTTTCCTAGCTAAAAGGAAAACCGGAACATCTATGCTAGCCGATAATCAAAGAAAAGGGGGAAACAGTTTGGATCGGAGTAACATGAGCTTTGGAGCGCAACGAGTTAGGGATGGAAATTAATCTCTTTCGCCTCGAGACACTTGGTTCTCGATAGTGAATTCCACTCCACGTACTACAAAGCATATGCATATATGGATGACTTGGCAAATCACGCTTCAAAGTAACGCAACGCTCGCTCATCTTTCATCCTGCAGTCGATATAAATCAGATTATCATCGTTCACTATCAGCCTAGAGGCTAGCGATAGCAGCGCGGAAAAGCACTGATCGTGATAGCCCTGCGGTACAACCTTATTTGTACCGAGAGCACTACACGACCGAAGTAATGCAATGGATGTCGTAACTTTTTTTTTTTTTTTGAGCTCCGTCCGTTCCGGTTGCTCAGAGCATCGATTTTGTCGCAGATGCGCAGCCTCCTTCGAAGCGAGAGAACACACCGAAGAGGCGAATTTATATTCATTGATTTGCACTCGATAGCTTTAAAATTTACGACGTGATGGGAATTGTGCTTCCTACGGAAAGTACCCTTGCGCTGTCTCCACATTTCCATTTTTTCCCCAGCATCTATCGATTCACTACCAGCGGGGATGGAAGGTGTTGATTATGGATCAGGGTTGGAACATGGAATAAGTGGTAGAGCGGAAGCATCCCTGACTTTGTGGGTCACATAATTTCATATTTATAAACTTCGGGCTTCCTGCCCTGGTTGGCTCGGTACGAAATGGGATCGGGATCAGGAGAGCTGGCCGATAAACATACTTGATTTGGTGGTGGGATAAGGGAAAAAAAGGTTCCTTAGGAAGAGTAATTGAAGTGTCGCCTACGTGATAGGGTGCATCTGACGATGGACTTTTTTATCAAAGGCATCAAGCTGACACAGAAACACAGATTCCTTAAATTTTCGTTGAAAAGAGTTCGTCTTACCCAATCGAATACCAGCACATTTTGTTTTTCTAGGAACCACCCGATCAATACGAATAGAACAATTTCTATTGCTGTATGTTAACACAAGCCTGGGTCCTTGTTTTTCTAACGATCCAATCCGACCGCTGTCGGATGCGTGTAATTTTTCCGTCCTGTAAAATCAAACGTATATTTTCTATTTGCTCAAAAAACAGAAGTCACTCAACAAAATAATAACATGATATGAAGTCACCCCCATGCAACTCACAATGCTTCAAATATGTATTTCCATGTCGTCCATGGTGTGTGCTGTGAAACCGGAGCAGGTATACGGAATATGGTACAAACAAACTACGAATAGGATCGAGATCTGGCTCAAATTGGATTGCCATATGACAGTGGAATTACTGTATCCGGACGAGTAAACAGTCTGTATGCAAATACGATGACCTTTTAGCTGAAAATGGGTGTACATCGAAAATCCATTTCTGACCGGGCCGAAGGCAAAAATCTATCATATTCGGAGATGGCAGATCCGTTTGGGAATGGTTTAACCATGGGGCAGTTTATCCAATATCCGGACCCAATATCAATACTTTATAGAATTCGTTTCAACCAACCGAGAATTCATTTCAACCAACCGGTGCCGGTGGTGTAGTGGTAATCTCGATTGTCTCTCGCATCAAAGGGCCTGGGTTCAATCCCTGTCAGCACCACCGGGATTTTCTGAGGCATAACATTTCTGATCACATCTTCCTTCGGAAAGGAAGTACAGCCGTTGGTCCCCGGTTCAACAAATCAAGGAAAAAGAAGAAAAAACCAACTTTCAACGATCCTGGTGTCGGTGCAAAAGCGAAAAATATTTTAATAAACCAACGGCATAGCTGTCGTTGGAGACTGTCTCTTACTTCGGTGGGTATAATTGAATTTTCTCAGGCGAAAAAACCATTGGATGGATATACTTCTGGCCTAGTTGAGCGTGAGGCCGATACATAAGGGCCACCTGGCTCATCAGATTCTTGTGAGGCTGAACCAATATCGACAGATGATATGAGTTTTCGCACTTATCTTACTTGTTGAATTCCCAAAGCACATATCTTACTCACCTAGATTGAAGTACATGGCAAAAAATAGCACCACTCTCATGCTGAATCCATGTTTGCTACCATCCATTGCTGGCTGTAATGAAAAGCAAAAGCAGAATAAGGGAAACGATGAAACCAGTTGCAGTTTGTAAATCAGATAAAAGAAAAAAATGTAATTAAATTGATGTTTGCATATTGAAACAGTGAGCCGCACTGTTTGCATCCGTTCAGTTAAATGATTTATTTAATTGTTCTGTGCTTCAACCGTGATGTATTTTTTAACTGTTTATTTGTTCCAAATTCAAAATAAATTACATTTCATTTTCACCTAGGTGCTCCAGTTACAATAGTAACTTACCAGCCTTAAATTCTACGATATATACTTATGCCAGGATGATTCTTGGTATCATAAAAAAAAATATCTTTATTCCCTTAAAGGTAATTACATTTAACTTTCAACACTAAATCTGAACAACAACTCTTCTCAACTAGAACCTAACAAAAACTACGCTCGCTCCTGCCTCTGCAACTGGTTTTGTTTGTTGTTCCTACTGTCTCAGCAAAACTCCTCTGTGTGGTAACCGATCGTCAACTGCTATGTTGACAATTGCTGGTCATCGAATTTTTCGGTGTCCAAAGTGCATTGTCGAGTAAGCGTTGGCCTGTTTCCATCCATGTGGTGTGATATGCTGATTCTTGTCGCCAGGTGCCTCGTGAATGGAGTCGAATACAGGGATGTTGTTGAGTCAGCGTCTAGGCCACGGTCGGTTGGTTGGTGGACGTGGGTAGAGCATCGGTATGTCCATAACTTCCCCCGCCTTAGTTTGAACCGTCTCGGTTCAATTCTACTTGCGAAGTTTCTGCCATGTTCACTATCGGGGCCTGTATCGTCAATTTCAGCTTAAGTCGGTGAACTTCCTTCAAAATGAAAGCGGAGAAAACTGCAACGATACATGCTACCATAATTATGACTCCAAAGCTTAAAGATTTATTCCTTTGGTTTGAGTGTAATAGGTATTCCAACTTATGACGGTTGTGAATGTGCAGCTGTTCCAGATAACTGATGGAGTTTGTGTCTTCTTCTATTTCTTCTACCTTTACTGAATGGAGTGGGAGGATAGTTAGCTTGATGTCTCCTTCAAACGTTCTGCTTTTGAATTTGTTTCCATTCAAGGTAATTGAACAGTCCTTGAATGAAATGAGGAATGTTCCTGTCAAGTTTCTTGGACCATACCCGCAGTTGTTTTGTAGTAGACTGGGTTCGATGGAGTTTTTGACTAACACTCCGAGGTCCTTGATTGACTTTACCTCCGTTTTATTTGAAGACTTCGTAAAGGTGCAGTTGCCAATGTTTCCACGTAATATCTGATGTAGGCAATTGTCGTTGGAAACGTTGAAAAGATTTTCGATATCGCAAATGTTGCTTTTCTCGACGTTTATGCATGGATGAATGATCAAAAATGTTTCATCATTGCCGATAATGGCTTTTGTTGCATTTATCGGGATTATTTTTCCTCGAATGATGATGGTTTCTATATGGAGTTGCACATATTCACCTTGTCTAAGTTTTGGAATTTTTATGAGGAATATTATTTTGGAACCATTGTGAAAAGCTACGGGTTCCAAGAATTCGTAAGTTTGATCGTAGCTTTCAATCGTTATGCCTTGTGATTCCAAAAGTTGTGTAGCAAAATCCAATTCGGAAGGTTGTAATAAGGCTTTCGATATGACACCCAGTCTCGACAATTGTATGGATTCGAAAATTGTTGTCAGCTGATGTTGAACCATGTCGATGTTGAATATGATGTTGTGTACATGCAGTACGTGTTTCCAATCTACTGCCCTATCTAAGCCTAAAATATTTTGTTTTATGATACTTTCTATTTCCCTAGTCTGTCTATAAGCCATTTTAGTTAGATTATTCATTCTACTCTCAAATAGTTCATTTATCTTAACCTGTTCGTTGTTTTCAGTAATAAGTACATTATTAGAATTTTTCAAGGTTTCCAATTGATTTTCAATTTGCAACAAATCTTCGTTGTCTAAGTTTCCAGTAATCATTATTATGGTAGATCCTAAAAAGTTAAGCGATCTTTTTGTTCTTTTTGATTTTGTTGTCAAGTTTTCAAGAATGGAATGAGTTTGAATCTGTTTTTGTTTAAGAATGGTAACTTATTCTATAATATTGAGGTTCTCTTCTAATTGTGCAATAATTGATTCATATTGTTTTAATATAATTTTGAATGAATCTAAGTTGAATTCGTGGATCAAAGTGTGGAAACCTTCTTCTATAGAAACTGAATTTGTTTTGAATACAACGATGCCTGGGTTTTTATTTAGTTCAAGTATCTCCATATGGGAGGAATGAATAGAATATGGTTGGATGAGGATGATGGAATAAGGTATTAGGAATTTATGGAATAAATTCATTTTTTATATGTTCTTTTTTTTTGCTGAAATGATATAAGAAAAATAGAAAGTTGATGTTAGTTTAACTCGAAGTTTTTCGTTTTCGTTTTAGTTTGGTTTTATGTATTCTCCTTCCATTCTCGTCGATGATATTAGTCTGTGCGTTATCTACAACTGTCAACTCTCTGTATCTCTCTTGATTTTTTAAATTATTCCTTTTCCTTTCGAAAACCGTGTCGTTTGGTGAAAAATTTTCAGGTTCCTCTCTATTTTGATTGAGCTTTTCTAGGTCTCTTATTTTTTTCTCTTTCTGTCTTTTAGAGAAGATCCTGTAAAGTTTCTCTTTCTGTCTGATTCTTTCGTCCAGATCCTCAGGGACTTGGTCTTCATTTCGAAATCCGAAGAATAATTCTTTAGGGATCAACTTTGTTTGTGAGTGAATTGAGTCGTTGTAAATAGCCACAGCCAAATTTATTCTTGTGGTTTCTGATAAATCTCTTGTTGATCTGTGATCTTGAATGATCGTTCTGTGAACTATTTCCACAGGTCCGTTAGAAGAGGACTGTCCAACGCTTGTATAATGGTATTCTATACCATTCTCTTCAAGAAATTCCTTTATAGTTGTGGAAGTAAACGAAGCCTCTTGGTCCATGACGAGAAGGGAAGGTTTTCCAGTATTTGAAAGAAAATGAGTATGTGCTTTTAGTATGTGAATAGCGTTACGTGTTTGTATAGGTATAGCCATGGTTAGTCGGGAGAACTTATCACAAAGTGTTAGATAATTTTTGTTATTTATAATAAAGATATCCATATGTACAATTTGCAACGGCTTTGTTGGGGTTGCTGTTAATTGTAATTTTGCTTAAATGGATGTCTTTCATACTTAGCCTTTTGACACAACTTGCAGAGATTGATGAATTTTGTTAATTTACTCTTCATCTTTGGAAAGAAATAGTTCCGCGAGATGTGACATTTTGTTTCATTTATTCCTCTATGATTGGCATTGTGTTGTCGTTGGATAATTTGGTCTTGTTCCAAATCATCGGTAACGTCAACTAGCATCTTTTGCGTCCAATAAATTTTGAATGACTTTGCTCTCGAAAACTAGTTCTTGTAAACGGTTTGCAGGTTGCTTAATATTTTTTCGCTACAATATAATGCTGTTGTGAATTTCGTAGAAGCATAGTCCTTCAAAATGTTTATTAGAATTGCGGGACTAAAATGTGGTTTTTTAATTGTGATTCTATGATAATTTTGAAAGATGGTTGATGCTTCGCGGCTATCCTCGTTGCTTTCCTCAAGAACAATCTGGTTCCTGAATTCGTTGAGTGGTCTTTCCGTTGCTGGAATAAAATCATTGTCATCGGTATCGGCAGAGTGTTGTGTCATGCTGTCATCGTTATCAGCTGGATGTGCGTTGATTTCCATGTTTTGACCAGATTCCGGGTTTATACGGGAGAGTGCGTCTGCGTTTGCATTTAGTAGGCCCTTTTTGTATTTAATTTCGAATTCAAGCTCCTCAAGGGCAAGTTTCCAATGAAGAAGCCTTCTATTCAAATCGTTCTTCTGTCGAAGCCACACTAGAGGTTTGTGGTCAGTTCGAATTTCAAAGACAGTGCCATATATGTATGGTCTGAAGTGTTTTGTGGCCCATACAATTGCAAGGAGTTCCTTTTCGGTTGCCGAGTAATTGCACTCTGCTTCGTTCAAGGTTCTAGACGCATATGCAATAGGATGTTCTTTGCCATCTTCAAATTTTTGGGACAAAACAGCTCCCAGAGCGAAATCGCTGGCATCTGTTTCTAGGATGAATTTCTTATTGAAATCTGGGTACTTTAATATAGGATCAGATGTCAATAAGTGTTTGCAATCGTTAAAACAATCTATAAATTCTGGAGTGTGAACGATTTTTGCATCTTTCTTCAAGCATTTCGTTAAGGGTTTCGTCAGCTTTGCAAAATCGCGGATGAATTTCCTATAATAGCCCACCAACCCAAGGAATCCTTTAATATGAGTTGCTGTTTTAGGAAGGGGCCAATTTAGAATTTTGTCAATCTTGTTAGGATTGGGCTTTATTCCGTTTTGTGTAACAATGTGCCCTAAAAATTCACATTGTTTCTGCAAAAAATCGCACTTGTCAAATTGCACTTTAAGATTAGCTTGAATCAGTCTTTGAAGAACTTTATTCAAGTTATCCAAGTGTTGCTGCAAAGAGTTGCCGAAAATAATAATGTCGTCTAGGTAGACAAGCCAACATTTTCCAATTAAATCACCTAGAATGTGATTCATTACGCGCTGAAATGTCGCAGGCGCGTTTTTTAATCCGAAGGGCATACGGATAAACTCGAAATACCCTTTTGTCGGTGCTGAAAGTGGTTTTAGGCCTATCCTTGCGGTGCACCTCGATTTGGTGAAACCCGGATTTTTAGTCTAATGTAGTAAAATAAGTACTACGACCAAGCCTATCGAGAATTTCTTCAATAAGGGGGATGGGAAATTTATCATCCACCGTTTTCTCGTTTAGCTTGCGATAGTCAATGACAACGCACCATTTTTTCTTACCGCTTGCATTGAGCCTTTTCGGGACAATGCAAATTGGAGAGGTCCACGGGGAGATTGAATTTTGAATTATACCGTCTGCTAGCATTTCACTGATCTGTTTTTCAACTTCAGCTTTATGCACGT